AGATCAAATTGGATTGGCTTTCCTGAAGAGCGAAATGGTACGTATTCTTAAGAATATGATCTTTTTTGTTTTCACAGTTGCACTTACTCATAAGCCAGCTCTTTGCTTTCTTAGCCCAGCATATATACACATTTATATACACACACACATATATATACCATATTCTATATCACTGAACATATATTGAGCAGCTACTAGATTCTTGGCATCATACTATAAGAAAGCCAACTGTGTGCCATGTGCAATATTGTTTGAGACTTAACAGAGAATTTGACCAACACTCACTACATTCTGAGTGAACTGAATAAGAGATTTAGAGTAAAGTAATACCCTATAATTTTAGAAATCTGGTATCAGATTATATAAAAGATAGGAATTCACCCAAAGCTAGAGACTAAAAAGGGAACAACAGATTTGAAAAATTATCTGATTAGTTTCAAATGAAACTACTAGTATAAATGAATGTCACATAGAAGAGGCCACATTTGCCCAGTTATTAAAATTACATATACATTTAAAGTCTATATTTTATATATAATTACACATTATATACATACACATAGTTTTGCACTGCATGAAGTGCGCATAATATGCAAAACTTACAAATCTATAAAAATTATATACTTGCACAAAGGCAAGATTATTCATATGATAGTGCCATACTCATTTGTGTTATAGTATGTTTTCTTGAGTGGAAGAGAAAAGAATAGTAATAGCACTTGTGAGAAGCATTGTGCATGTGAATATTATCTTGTACATGGAAATACAGTTGACAGTTAATGATGCAGACCACATCTGCAAATTTGTAGTCAGTATTGCCACTCAAAGACATATACTTAGAAATAAATCACAGTTCTAGAGACAGTGATAAAATACAGGAACTAGTAGATGTCTCTTTTTTTAAGAACATATTTTCATCTATTTAGGTTTTAAAAGAAAATATTAAAGTTGGCAATTTCAAAAAAGAATTGGGCAATTATTTTTAAAACTAATGAATTCTGAGACTTGAGAACATGAATGCAATTAGTGGCTTGCCATTCCCTTATGCTTCTTTTCTTCCCTATTTTTGTTGTGTATGTTGGTCAAGTTTGAGTTTTATGTCATTACTTCACACTTGTATTCATATAATAGAGGTAAAGAATGACAGAAGAAGGACTGTGGAAGATATGGGAGAGCACTTTTTCTGGTCCACAATATTTTAAACCTGTATATAAGCTTGCTTTGTATAGAAGTTTATTTCTAAACGTAACATTGATTATTTTTTGTTGCTGTTAATCCTCACCAAAGGATATTTTTTCCATTGATATTTTGAGAGAGAGTGGAAGGGAAGGAGAGAAGAGGGGGAGGGGAGACAGAGAGAGAGAGAGAGAGAGAGAGAGAGAGAGAAACATCAGTGTGACAGAGACACATTGATTGGTTGCCTCCCTCAAGCCCCAGCTGGGGCCAGGGATCAAGCCTGCAACTGAGGTTCAAGCCCTTGAACAGAATCGAACTTCAGACACTTCAGTCTGTGGGCCGTGTTCTAACCACTGAGCAAGCAAAACCAGCTAGGGCAACATTGATTATTTAATTCTTGGAAGTTTAAAGATAAAATTGTAGCATCAAATATCAAATAGGCATTTGTTAAATGCCTATTCTTTGAAGAGGCATGTTTTTCTTAAAGTAGGTAATTTGTCATTTTTATGTAACATGTGTTTGCTTGCTTGATTTTTAAAGGTAAAGGCTGTAAAATTATTTCTTACACCAGAAGATTTGGATGATCCTGTAAATAGAGCAAAGAAATATTTTCTTCAAACTGGTATTTAAAAGTTTCTTTACCCTATACATAGCCATGCAGATACATAATATAAATGCTATGTAAGCAGAAGGGCATTCATTGCTACATAAATGTGATAAGAAATAGATTTTAATATATTCTATATTTAATCATTTTATTATATGCCCTATGTACTCCTTTTGTCTGTTCTAAATCTTGCTTGCAGGGAGGTTGGAGGGGAGAGATGGCATCTTAGTTTTTCTTGATCTGAATCCTCTGAGGAGATAGGAGTTCCCAGTTCTAAACTGGTACTGATGGGAGTATATGATTCACTACAACTAGAGGAGATGGAAAAATAAACTAAATAAAAGAACATTTGTTATATCTGATACTTTGTGCATTGGTTCTGGTCTAGTTGCCATTCAGCCCTGACTACTGATTTTGAAAACTCTAGCTCAATAGGATGATATATATGCAGAATGCTTAATAGGAAACACTAAAGAAAACTAGTTATGAGTGTGGGTTCTAGAGTCAATTTATATGAGTGTAACGCTCACCTTTAGTACTTGCCAACTGTATGGGTTTGTGCAATGATTTAGCCTCATTGTTTTGGTTTCTTCACCTGAAATTGAAGCTAATAATAGTACCTAAAAGACTATTATGACATTTAAATGAAATAACAGATGTAACGCTCTTAAAATAGTGCCTAGCACATACTAAATACTGAACAAATATTACTTGTATTTAAGTAATAATGACAGCAACCATACCATTTTAGATTCATTCAAATCTGTGATCTACATATATGTGCATACTAAATTTCACTAACATCAAAATAAATGATACCAGTTTTCAAAAATCTCCATTATTTTTAACACTTGGAGTGCGGGAAACGAGTTAAGTTGGCTCGCGTGAATTGCGCGTACTCCGCGGGAGCCGTCTTTAACTCGGTTCATATAGATTTGCGGTGGAGTGCGGGAAACGTGTAAACTCGGGCCGATTGTAACTGCGTATTACCAAATATTTGTTTGTAATCCACCCTTTTGGTGGATGGAACAAAACCAAAAGACAGAGCCATCTTATATTTTGGCGGGAAATTCACCCGCACTCCAAGTGTTAAGTATGTACATATTATAAAAACATGTAATTATTCATAGGAGAGAAATATTTTTGTGCCAAAGCACAATCTATAAATAATATGGGCATTTCAAATTGTTATGAGTAATCTAAGTGATACTAAAGAAAATTCAAAGTGAGTTGTTTGTCTCTATTGTAGAGTCTTGAGAAGATAATTTCCTTATGGCAATGATTTCAATGATATTTACACTTTAATGTTCATAAGAAACCTGATACAGTTATTTAAATGCTGATTCCAAGGCCCTGTTGGAATCAGCATCTTTACAGTAGAGTCCCTAATTTTAAAATGCATCCCACCAGCAAGACCTAACATTATGCTTGAGGAATCCAGACATCACCCTTTCTTATTCAAACAATTCTCTGTAAATCTCCATAATAGTTCTTTTTAAATCCCTAGGCTCAGAAATTTATTTAATGCTCTTTTATGAAGTCCTCTAATAACTGTAAATTAGTTTATCTTCATTCTGAAGTAAGAATTACTACTGTGCTTTTTGTTATTTTTTAATGTGTTTTTATTGATTTTTAGAGAGAGAGAAAGTGAGAGGGATAGATAGAAGCATCAATGAGAGAGAAAAATCTTCCTTTGGCTGCCTCCTGCATGCCTCCTATTAGGGATCAAGCCCACAACCTGGGCATGTGCCCTGACTGGGAATCCGACCCGTGACCTCTTGGTTCATGGGTTGACACTCAACCACTGAGCTAAACTGGCTGGGCTGTTTTTGTTTTTTGTGTTTTGTTGTTGTTGTTTTTAAAGCAGGGAATGTGAATGGCTCATATGATCTTTATTTTTTAAAAAACAATTCTTCAAGTGTAGTTAGATTTATAGTCGGTGCTGAACATCTTCATATTCAGGTGTAAAAGAGCAGCAATTCATTGACTCTCATTTAGAGAGCATAATAAAGGTCTTCATAACAGGCCTTTAAATGAAAGTGGTTGACTAACTGATTTTCTCTTTATTGCAGAGGATGCTAAAGGCACACTTTCATTGATGCCAGAATTCAAAGTTCGAGAGAGAGCGTTGTTGGAGTCACTGCATCGCTTTAGCATGACCGAGGAGGGTTGTATCCAGGCCTGGTTCTCCTTTCCTCATTCTATGCGCATTTTCTACATTCATGCATATAGCAGCAAAATTTGGAATGAGGCCGTATCTTACAGACTTGCAACCTATGGATCAAGAGTGGTGGAGGGTGATTTGGTCTGTTTGGATGAAGATGGTGATGATGAGCAATTCCCAAATAATAAAGTAAGTGTCATTTCATCAGGATTTCCGAAGAGTAGTTGTTACCTTAGCAGGGACACTACGTTTCTGAAGCCTTTATTTTAGAAACAATTTAAACCTAAATATGGATTTTATTTCTTTTTAACTTATATTTGCTCATCTCCTTTTCTACTCTGCTGTCAGCTGAGGCTTAATACACGTCAATAACTGAAAAAATAAAATAGTCAATGGTGTGAAGTGAAAGGTACAAAGATAGTAAAACTTCCTTTCAAGAACACATTCTTTTAAAGATTACAAATAATGCACAGAACAGTTTCCTTAAAAATAAAAACCAAAACATTGCAGATGTAGCTGTTACCCTTGCCATGACTGTTGTGATCTCCTCCCCTGCCTCCAGAAAACCAACCTCTGTTTTGGGGCCTGTGTTTTTCTAGATATTTTTCTATGCTTTCATAAATATCCACAGGAAAGGAGATTTTTATTCTATTAGTTAACACCGAGAAAAGAAAAGACAGGGCTTAGAGGCTAAAAGCTTAAAATACGAAAGAAAAAGATTTTTGTTATAATGGTATATAGGGCATGTAATGTTCTGTGTTTCTTTTATATAAGCGCAATTTCACAACTTGTTTACTTTTTAACAATATCTTAGAGACATTTATATTCATTTCAAATAAAGGAACCCCACTTCATACTAACATAAGAAAGAGCAGACAGGAATTTATTGGCCCTCACACCCAGAAGTCCATGATTAATCCAGGCCCAGCTGTATCCAGGGTCTTATGCAATGTCCTACCTCATCCCTCATTTTCTTTAGCTGTCAGCTGATTTTCTGTTAGATTCATTCTCAGTCTGGCTTAAACTTTATTCCTTTAATGGCAAGATGGTTATTAGCAACTCTACGCTAATTTCTCACAACTACTCCAGAAAAGAGGGCTTTTTTTCCTCAACAGTTTTAACAAAAGCCATGGAATTGAGTCTCAGTGGCTCAGCATGGTGTGACTTGGGTCACAATTCCCCAAACCCATAGCTGTGGACTGGAGTATGTGATTCGTAAGCCTGTGTTGCCAGGGCTCCTTCCTGAAACCATCCCACCCTAACTGCATCTGAGATCTGGGAGGGGAGCTCTCTGGAAAATTTGCTACCAGAAGAGAGGTGGTAAAGGCTGAGCAAGTTTTATTATTTCATTAAGTTTTATCATTTCAGTATTCATGGCTTTTGAATATTTAGGTAAGAAAGTAATCACTAGGAACATACATTACTAAGAATGGTCATTTAACTGAGACACAGACTGAAACTGTGTAGAAAGAAACCTAGCAGTATCTTAAGTTTTATTTTAACTCATGTGAATGGAAGAAGAGAAATGTCAGTGATCCTCTTCTAATAAATAATGAAAAATTCTAAGTTTTTTAACACCTTCTAGATAACCTGTCCATTTAAATATTACCTGGGCAGTACATTATTTAGTAAGTCAGCCATTTTTTTATTCAGATGTGCAGAATTTAAAGGTTACTTTGACAAGATATAGCAATGATCTCTGAAATACATGCGTCTTGTAGGTTTCTTTGTTCAACATAACATTAGTAAGGAGTTTTGTGGTCAGAATTGTATCAGCTTTTCTTTTTGGAGTTGTAGGAGAAAAGAGAACGTTTTCTCCTTTATATCCTGAAGTTTCCTTTTATCAGCAGCAAAAATTGTTTATAATTTTAAGGTCAATCATTTATGCTTTATTAGTTAGCATTGAGAAAAGAACAGGCAGGACTTAGAGGCCCAAAACTTAAATTAGGAAAAGGAAAAAAGCAGAATGAGATTTTTAAGACGTGGTACTAGTATATAGGACATGTAATGTTGCACATCTATAATTAAAAATGGTAGGAAACGAATCTGATTCCCTTTTTGATAGGATTACTAGCCTAACAAGTATATCTTTATTTCAAGGCATTTGGTAGATTCTCTTTTAATTTTTTTATGAGCAAGATAGAGAAATGTGAGTTGCACTATTCATATTTGGGGAGCAGTCATACAGCAAAAGCATGTTTGTAGATTGATATTAACCTGGAGAGAGTTCTCTTAAGGCAAAACATGGTCTTTTGTACTTGACCATGTTTTTTTGGTATTTTCATAAATTATTTAAATAACAATATTGTAGGTATGCTTATGAATTTGTGAAAGACAAAAAGCTGGAAGTGATACAGGAGAGATCATAGCCCCATTTATTTTGGTCAGATCACACCTGGAGTTTTATATCCATTTCGGAGTATAACAGTTAAACAGGTTATTTACCTAAAAATAAGCAACTCAAGTGAAAAACCAAAAAAACGAGGAGGAACTTTATTGATAAGGGTAGAGAATCAAGGGGAAAGCAAGCAGATTTAGAAGCTATCTGGACACTATCTTATACGATGAGTGCTTTAGGAAGGTGGGGATGCTGTCAGTCCTTGTGGAATGATGCTGCTGCCTTTGAACTTGAGCTCTCCTTTGCAAGAGAAATTAGTTATTCTGTGATGTCCTGCAGCAACATTTCTCAAACGTAATACATCACACACCTCCTACATGTGATACCCGTAACTGTTCTATGAAGTGCATTTTGAGAAACACCACTTCCCATAGAGTCTGATATTTGTTGGGGACAAAGGAGGGGGTGGTTTGACAGAAGCAGATTTTTGATTCAGCATAATAAAGAACAACTTTGTAATTTGGAAAAAGATTGTTGGTGACTGACGTAAAAGTAAAGAAGTGTTAAGCTGCCCACCAAAATCTGTGTGTGCCAACTTCAGTTATCAGTGGTTAAAGTGGGAAGAATAATTTTAATTTTTATGTAGTCTGCT